GAGGAATGCTTCCAGCACCTTGTTGAATCTATGCCACGAAGAATTGAGGCAGTTCTGAAGGCAAAAGGGGGTCCAACCTGTTACTAGCGTGGTGTACCTAATAAAGTGGCCGGTGAGTGTATATACATACATACTATTGTAGGAAGTGTGTATGTATACATACATGTATACAATATATATACATATAGATATATATATAGATAGTATATATACAAGTCATTTGTTTTGAATAGGATGACACCAAATGTTGCGTTTGAGCGGAATGGGTTAAAAAGAATAATTGCGAACTCGTCTCTTTCTAGTAACACACCACCTCTGACCAGTACGACCAATCAGATTGTCAGGAAAAGAAAAAAAGAGAACAGAGCAAAATGGGAAGAAGAGATGTGATTGTTGTCCACAGAACTGCAGTTTCCTCATTTTGAGTTTAAGCATGACTAATCATATACAGTCTTCCTGTTGTTAAACTCAAGCTCTCAGTCTGACTCCACAACCTCCGGCTGACATTGAATCCACTGAAATAATTAGTGCCACCGGAAATTTATGTCATTTGTTTTCATGACAAGTGATGCTCCTCTGTAAACATTAAACTAAAACTAGAGGACTGAACATTAAGTGCTGAAGGACTGCTGAAATTAGCTAAAAATTTAATTCACTGCCCTGTTAAAGTTAATGCAAGCACAACAAAAGCTACAAGTAGCTATTAACTAACATTAGCACAACTGTAGCTAAATGCTAAATTGTGCAAACTGATGTAACAAACAGCTAAAGCAGCATATTGCAAAAAAATAGTTAAAAGCTAAAATTAGCATAAGATGACAAAACTAGAGTAAGTATGATGAAGCAGTTTTCAGATGTTTTTGTACAGTGAGATTTGAAAAAATACAGTATTTCCATGAAAAATTTGTACTATATGTAATAAATACATCAAAAGGTATAAAAATTACAAACTGTAAATATTATTCCACATACAACCAGATCAAACTGAACATTGTGATACAGGAATGGTTAAAATAGCACCAAATATGCAGAAGCAGTTGAACTAATAATAAACGTCCGGAAGAAACTAAAAACAAGAGAGTCGTGCTGTGAATGCTGACTCAGCGTACCTTCTGACTGGCCAGCTCCTCTCGCAGCTTCACTTGTTCCTGCTGCATCTGGCTCAGCTCCTCCTGCTGGCTTTGCAGGCGAAGCTGCGTGTCCGGAGGTTTGCTGCCGTTGCACTCCGCCGCCGAATTGTCAGAGCTGCGCCCGAACCTCCCCGTCCCCTTCACGTCTCGGAGCGAGGCCCTCTTGGGCCGCGAGGAGCTGCGCACGAAATCGAAAGTGAACGCCGAGCCGAAGGAATCTGAGGGAGGAGASAGGTGTGCGCGGGATGGTCAGGAGGAAGGTCAGGCGGGAGTAATAAACTCCGGAGGCGGCAGAGCTTACGTCTGTGCGAGTCCAGGTGGGGCTTCAGCTCAGGGAGGTCCTTAGGTGGATCGATCATCTCCCACTCGTCTGAATTGCTGTTGCTGGTGTAAAACACGCTGCGTCTGTTCTCGCCTGTTCTGCCAGGCCGCAGATAAGACATGGTGTTTCTAAAAAATAAAATAAAAAAAGGTGAAAACAGTTCAAACTTAAAAGAGAAAAAAAAAAACAATAATCTGCACCGTTGCACATTTTAACGAGGTGAACGCTTTTGCTCAAGTCTAACAAAATCAATGGCAGGAGAAGAAGGATGAACCTGAGTTATCACTTCTAAAAATGGTTTGGTTGGTGTGGAAAATAAAGATAAAACATAAAAACTAAAGGTCTAGCAACAACAGAAACAACACTTGGCTACTCGGCATGCCCAAGTTTTAAAGATTTTGAGTGATGTGTTAGGAAGGACTAGCAGCTACTGCCACAGCAAATTTCAGCTCGATATCTGTGCGAAGGACTGAGTTATGGCCATTTCTGCGTTTGCTAAGCTTGATTTCTTGTGGCGGCCATTTTGAATTAGGTTGACTCTAAAAGGTAATTGTTGTAGATGAACATCCAATGATTATTTTGAGATTTATTCAAATCCGTCCAGCGGTTCATGAGGTTTGAGACGGAGAAAAAAGGCACACACAGGTGGCCACCTGGCATGATGCGTTCATACAAACACAGAACTGGTTGACGAAAGAGACGGAACTAGTATGTAGGGTTGGGCATAATCGTATCGTGTGCAATTAATCGTCAGTAAAACATTAATGGATTAATTTTTGGAACTTGACGATTAATACGATTAATGCCACCAGGCAGAGTCCGCTCGCTGCTCCTCTCCGCTTCAAATATGACGAACATTAAAAAAAATGTTCTGTAAGTTATTTATCTATTAACACTTTTTAAATTTTGATTTATAGCTTGAACTCTAATTTTGACACAATTTGGAACAGATTTTTATGAAGAGCACTTTTTACAACAATATGTGTGAGCGTGCCACGTCCGTCAAGTCACATCTGTTTTATCTTCTATAAAGAGGAAGTTTTGGCAGATAGTAGTAAAACAACAAGTGGTCTCTGGATTTAATCACTTCCTCTGCTGCAAACAGCCACAGGAAAAACCAGAAAGAACCAGGAAGAACCAGGTGTTTTTTCCCTAATGCAGCCCAACTGGCAAGGGGGAGGAAGGGAAGCAAACAAACAAGTCGTCTCTTTTTGGCAGGAAGCCAGAAAACAAACAGTAGGTCGGAGTCGCTTTTTGAAAAAATAAAAATAAACGTTTACCTGATCTCTGTGCTAAAGTTTTTCAGGGAGAAGTTGGCGGCAGAGGGCCCTTTGGCTGACTGGATCCCCACCATCCCACCAGGATTTAGTTCTGTCTCCATGGCGAAGTCACTGCGGACCTTCTCCAGGTTTTCACTTTGGTTCTCAGTGACAGAGGAACCTGAAAACCATTAAGTAACAACATATTACACTTAGCATAACAACCGCCTGGCAAGGTCTCATCACAACATGCTGCTGGTCTAAAGAAAACAACTGAGACGGTTTTGTTGTGGCGGCCATCTTGAATCACACTGACTCTACAGGTTAATAGCTGTAGAGGTACATCCAGTGATTATTTTATTAGTTTGATTAAATTGTGTCCTCTGGTTCACATTTTGTTAAGTGTACAGTTAAACACACACGACAGCATTGTTGTCTGCCTTGGCCAGCAGGTGAAAACACATTACTGTAAACACGACAACTAAATTAATCAACGGTTTGTCTAAATAAGTAAAACCGTCAGGTGTCTGAACAAACTCAAAGTAAAGCTTGGCAACAGTTTTGTCTTGTTAAAAACAGATGTTTCTGATTCACATCCAGCTTTCTAACCACCTCACAGCAGAACTGAGACCAGATATTTTTATTTCTGTGTGAACTCAGTTTGGAAAGTGAAACATTTAGAAAAAGACCCTGTTTTCACCAGTTAAATAAAGCACTAACCATCCACACAGCTGTCTGACTGGAGCCTTTATTTCACAGATAAAAGCTTTAAGGTACAAGATGAAACTTAGGTGAAAAGCCGATCTTATCCACCAACCTTATCTACCTCCGCAAAGGTCTGAAAATCAGCCACTGCCTCCTTTTTGCTCTGAGCTCCACCAGTTAAGACAAGTTTTTTGAGGGTATTTTTCAATGTTTTTTAATAAAATAAGACTGGAGCATTGAAGGTGTATTGTGACCTTATAACATCTGACAGGGTCAGTTACAGAAAAATCTGAATCGGCAGGTCAGACTATCTGAAGATGGGTGATCGGCCAGAAAACTGCAATCGGTGCACCTCTAGTTTTAACTGAACAGAGTAGCAGAAAACGCTGCATTGTGCTGAATTGTTGCAAAGCAAACATTCTCTGATAGCGTCTGATTTTCACACAAACATATCTCACCACAGCTCACAACCTGAGGGTCAAAGTCTTCTGGTGCCGGGAAAACACAGGACAAGACAAAAATATGCACAAAATCTAAATATAGCACACTTCAGTGTGTTGTGAAATGAGATAAACATTATAACAACCCAAGACAAAAAGCTTGTCTCTGACAGAAAGTAAAAACTACAGAGAGACTGAGAAAATATAACTAAATGAACTTAGAAAATGTTCCAGTAGTGACTACCCTGATTCGGAACGCAACAAGATTACAAACAAAGCTCCAAGGCCAAAGCGTAAAGTCATCAAAACATGACTAACTTCTCATTACAACAGCTGTAACTTATGAGATGTGGGAAATTCAGTTAAAACTAAAAAATGAAGAACAGAAAAAAAATAACAGATCTTGTAACAATAAAAAATGATGTCTGTGCAGGTTTTTATTGCTAAAAATAAAAGGTGGAGCGATAATGTTTTTAACTTGTGTGTACATTTGTCTGCACAAGTAGCAAAATATCTGCTTCAACTGAAACAATAAATATTCGKTTTGATTTTTATACATGTTTATTTTTCATGTTTATGTGTAAAAAATACTGCACATCTTCAGCATGCTTTTATTCTTTGCACATGTGCAAAAATCTAAACCTGGAGCAACAAACTCATTATTATATCATCAGTAAGCTGCTGCTGTTACTGTTTACACTAGTAAATTAACAACTAATTAGATAATAATGTGGTAATTACTGAGTTTTTACAGCTGAGAACACCGACAGACACTTTGTGAACTTTAAACATTTGACTACCAACTTATTTTTACACTTTAGCATCTGAAAATACAAAACCACCACATAAATATACAGAAAAAACCTGGAAACCATGTAAAGTGGCATTTAGAAGTGTTTCATGTGGCTCAACCTTTATTTCTGTAAAKTGCTAATAGTGACCTTTTCTGAATATGTATCACTTTAAAAAAACACCCCAATTTATCAGTAAAGATGAAAACATATAAAACTTAAAATCAAATTACATTTTTTTATGATCAAAACTGCTTTTATTGACCAGTGTGATCTAGCACATTAAAAAACACCATCTATATGGCTTCATGTTAGGAAAATGATAAAATAAGCATTATGTTATCGGCCACAGAAAACTGAAAGGTGTGTCGTCATGTTTTTGTCTGTGTTGGTTTATCTGCTCTGTTTGCATCTCATGAACTATTTGGCAGATTTTATTCATAATTTTTTTGTGTGTCAACTTAACTAAAGTGGTTATACAGCAAGGTTTTCCTATAAAATATTCGTAATTTAAAGCTCTGGCATGAAAGGCAGCAGGAAATATACATTCCTTCAAGGAATACAAGGCCTGTAATAGTTAAATGAATAAGAATCCTAATACAGTAACGTGACACATCTGGTTTACCTCAGACGTTTCGTGCACAGTGTTATGCTGCGTTCACACCRAACGCGATTTCAGCTTCAAAATCACATCCAACGCTGGACGTTGGATGCTTGTGCACTTTGCGAGGTCAGACGCAGGTCAGCTCTTGAAGCGCTGCACGGCAACAGCCTCCCCGCCCCTCCCTCCTCTGTCGGGCTCTGTTTAATGTCGGACGAGGAAGTGGCT